AATCTTCAATGACTTCTCCATGACCTTGACCTAATCTTCAATGACTTCTCCATGACCTTGACCTAATCTTCAATGACTTCTCCAGGACCTTTACCTAATCTTCAATCACTTCTCCATGACCTTTACCTAATTTTCCATGACTTCTCCATGACCTTTACCTAATTTTCCATGACTTCTCCATGACCTTTACCTAATTTTCCATGACTTCTCCTTGACCTAATCTTTAATGACTTCTCCATCGACCTTGACCTAATCTTCAATGACTTCTCCATGACCTTGACCTAATCTTCAATGACTTCTCCATGACCTTTACCTAATTTTCCATGACTTCTCCATGACCTTTACCTAATTTTCCATGACTTCTCCATGACCTTGACCTAATCTTCAATGACTTCTCGATGACCTTTACCTAATCTTCAATGACTTCTCCATGACCTTGACCTAATCTTCAATGACTTCTCCAGGACCTTGACCTATTTTTCCATGACTTCTCCATGACCTTTACCTAATCTTCAATGACTTCTCCATGACCTTGACCTAATCTTCAATGACTTCTCCAGTACCTTGACCTAATCTTCAATGACTTCTCCATGACCTTGACCTAATCTTCAATGACTTCTCCATGACCTTGACCTAATCTTCAATGACTTCTCCAGGACCTTTACCTAATCTTCAATGACTTCTCCATGACCTTGACCTAATCTTCAATGACTTCTCCAGGACCTTTACCTAATCTTCAATGACTTCTCCATGACCTTTACCTTATTTTCCATGACCAAAAACATTACTCTTTCTCAGCGGTACCACTGAAAATGGTTTATTTTAACAGGAAAGTAAGGTCTGCATATGAAACATGTTGTTCCTCTCTAAAAACAAATCCAATAGGCTTACTGGCTTCTACACGCTAAAGCAACTAAAATCTCTCACCAGCAAAACACCTATTCAGTTAAATGCCATTTTACGTTTCATTACTATACGATACAGTATTTATTATCATTATATTATTATTATTTCGGCGATTAGCTAAAATATAAATTACATTTGATGCAAGTTTAGTTACATTTCCATGACTTTTCCAAAACTTTGGGACAAATATTGTTTTCCATAACTTTTCCAGGGCCTGGAATTTGGAATTTGCATTTAGAATTTCCATGACTTTTCCAGGTTTTTAATGACCGTAAGAACCCTGTTAATATTTATAGAAAGAAATGTCTCCGTTTTCTTACATAACAAGAATACTGTTCATATTTAAAAAGGGAACGGGACTCTACCTAAAGCATGATAATCAAGTTAAGTGCATTTGTAGCATTGAGCATTTGATTAGAGGCACACCCAAGGCAGTGTCCAAAATATACGAGCCAACTATGGTTATAAAATGGCGTTGATTAATTAAGTGGCCAAGTTGGCAGCAGGTTTATTTTGGAGGAGCGATATCATACAAGGTTTAAAACAGAGAAGAGGATAGCCTGATAATCTTACTGTCCCTATAAATCCATAGACAGAAGATTGCCAAACACAATCTAAATCTATCTTCTCTAATGTGCAGATTTACAGATTTTGTTCGTATTTTGGGGATTTCTTTATTTCATTTTTTGGGTCAAACAATGGTAATGGTATCCCCCTTAAGCTGAAGGAAATGTTGGTGAACATTTGTGGACCAAACCATTTTAATTGAATAATAGAGAAAACCAGAAATAATGCAGATATGAGCAGAGTGACAGAAAATCAAGTAAGTCTGCATGAAAGCCTTCAACCTTATGTAAGCATCCTTATTAAAAGACTGAAAGTAAAAAGAGAATTGGATAGAGCAACGGGAAGTCAACAGAAAAGGGTACTGACAATTAGCAACAAGTCATGCAAAAACAAATATGTATTTATATATATTTAAAGGAAAAGCAGAGTTGCAACATGTACATACATTTGAGAAGTAAATAAATTGTCTGCCAGAAAGCAAAACGTCAGAGTTAAAATGCCAGCAGGAAAGGTTAGCTGCACCTAAGACATTATGACATTGATGTCGGTGAAAGGTATTGTAGGATATTAGATATATTGCCATCATTTCACCTATTTTTGCCCCAAAAGTGAGAAACTATGAGGTGTTATGTTTATATAGTGTTGGGCGATATGAGAGTAAGTACTGTGAAAGGGTATACATGTGTCCACCAGATCAGGCAACACAGTTTCCACAGGGGCATCTATTGTCGCATGATTTCTAAATCTTGCTGATTGTAACGTCACGTTGTTATTCATTTGTAGTTAACGTTAAATTCTGTAGCACAGGAAATGATACTTTGTTTTCAGGAAGCCCAAATCTAAAATCCCAAAATATTTGAGTGTTGTCTTATGTAAGCTGGTTTTTTTTTTTGTTTTATATTGAACGTCCATAAAAACAAAGAATAAAATATGTTTGTTAGCCTCAAATTAATTTACAGAATAATAAGGCTACTACATTGTGATATGTGACATCTGTAACCTGACATAAAAAAGTATGTTCACGTTTTTGTCAAAGCGACCAACCCCATGTTTATGTGTGACGATGCGTGTTAGTATGTTTAAGACTTTTGAGTATGTGAGTGAAAAGGATGTAGGTGAGGTTCTCTTTCTAAATGTTTTTGTTTTCTCTTCCCTCCCGGTGCGGAGCAGTGGGTCCGAAGCAACAGAAGGTAAAATAAACACGGAACAGACTTCCCCCGGAACACAAGGCAATCCCCAGAGGAATTCTGGGAATGTGGCTCAGGATGTCGGGCCTACCACTCTTACCGCATCCTGAAAAACTGTCCGCAGAGCCCCCAGCGTCCAAGGAAAGATAGAGAAAGTGCTCTCGGTGTGAGTCTTGATGAACAGACTGCAACATCATCAAAGTCACAGGATTTGCCTGACTCCGCCTGCATTAAACAGTGGCAGGGGCTACAGTAGTGGGATTGGTGGTGTCAAGTCTCACCTGAGGGTTGTTCTTACCTTGCACTCGAATCTTGAACTTCCCGCTCTGTCCAAACCCACCCTCGATGACACCAGTCTCGCCCGTTGACAGTGTGACCTTTAACCCGATGAAGAGCTGGAGGTTGGTCTCCTTCTTGAACAGGTTGCGGCCAATCACAGTGTAATCATCGGTCACCTGAACACAACAGAGAGGAAGAGCGCTCCATGAGCTGCAGGACTAATGACAGATAAAGTGATTAGAAGCACTAAATGGTGTGGAAGAATGTGATCTAATCAGAGCTGTGAAAATGTCAGGATGTGCTTTAGTTTGATCTCATATTCCCGTCCTCTAATCTAGGTCTTGTGGGTTGTCATGATTTCACTGTGGCAGCATGGCGGAGAGAGGAAGAAGAGCCGATCTTCAGTCCTGTGTCCTCATCAACTGCACCATTCGCCGCAAGCCGCATTCCTCGAAGCTCGCCGCCTGGATGTCTGGCATCCTTTCTTTCATCCCCCCTGCACATTTTATGCTATATTTGTTTTTATTTCTTTCTTATCATCCATCACTAAGTCGATCTTACCCGCTACTAATCTGATAACATGAGGGCACCGCTCTGTCTCCGACACACCCCCTCGCGCCGGCTCTTCCTCTCTCTTCTGCCTAACCCTCATTCATTCTTGAACATTTGACCCTGACGTCCCTCAAGCATGACTGATGCGCTGATAAAAAAAATACTGTTGCTGTACATGTCCGACAGACCGTATGACTTGTGACTGTATGAGCCCGCCATATCTCAACAATGCCAGTAATGTGTTCTTTTACTCAAAGTCTAGAAACATAACTGGCTCTTTCTGAGAGACAGATGAAGTACACATGTAACTTTACATGACCAAGGACTGACCTCTTCTCACACGCTGTTTGACTTCTGAGTCACTGACTGGAGCTGTCAACAGCCTGAGGTGCTAACAGCAGGAAACTAGTTCACACACTTGACCCCTGACCTGAGTCTGACCCTGCACGAGGGCGCACAGAAAACTTTAACTGTACATTGCAGTATGACGAGTCATAACAAAAACATAAACTGGGAGGAGTTAGAGAGTTATAACACATTGAAAAACTCTTCTATGTAAATGTTGATTTCCAGAAGAAAACAACAGCATTAGATTAGATGAGATATGGATCGGTATGAACTGGAGCTCAGGATTGAGGATGGAGCGTGACAGCAGTAAAACAAAAACAACAAATGACAACGGCGTGTGTAAGAGAGAGAGAAAACGCTGAGTCTCACTCACTCACACAGGCATGTGGGTATTCCTGATACCGCCGCTCAGGTGTGTCCAAACAGTGCCATCGTCTAACCGCTAGACAGGACGAGTGGCGTCAGTCTGCCACCCACGCACACCTCTGTGTCACAGCACATGCTAAGGCATGCATACACATTCATGCCTCAAACACTGATCACAAGGGCGGCGTGTTGTTTGTGTGAGCCTGTTTGTGACTGTGCAATAGGGGCTCTGTCTGAGAGGCACGCTCCATTGACACCAGCAATGACAAACATCCAAAGAAGAACCAGAGCACTACAAGGTGATAGAAAGGGTAGAGGGCCACGGGCAACACTCCGGGGTAAGGAGAGAGGACAGTAAGGAAAAAATCATTTAAATAAACGTCTTAGAGTTCAACTCACCCGTTCCACCTGGCCCTCCTTGTGTTTGGTCTTGTAGATGCGCAGACGAGGCAGGGCAGACTCGGCATAGCCTTTATCTTCAAACCCTTGGAGGAGACGGCCTTGGAAGGCCAAGCGGCATGCATTGGCGTGAATGTCCGTGTCCAGCTTTGAGCCAATCACCAGGCAGAGTAAGGGGCATGTGACTGGCCGCTCAAACTCCAACAGGGCCCATTGCTCTGGATCACACCCTGGACTCGCCTCTCCCTGAGCGATGACATATTCATCCTGGTGGAAGTACTCCCTCTCGAAGGTGAAGGGTGTATCCAGCGGGCAGGGCTTTGATGGAGGTTGGTTAGTGACTGAGGGGCGCTCTGAGGCACCCAGGGGTGGCAAGCCAAAGAAGGTAACCCTCGCCATGACTGTCTCATGGCCCACGGTGATGTGGAACTTGGCCCGGGTGGATAGAGAGCCCTTGAAGTAGCCGATCTTCCTCACAGAGATGAGAGCTGCATAGAGGGTGCGCAGGGACCCCGGGGTGCACACCACACCCCGCTCTAACAGTTTGGGGTCAAACTGTGTCACGCACACACCCACGCGATCCCCCTGCATGGCCCCCGACACCGGTCTCCGAAACATCTGCACCGACTTTATCTTCTTGGTCACCTGATGTCAGAGAGCATAGAAATATAATAAATAATCATATTTTTCATAATCAACACACAGATTTCCAACAAAACTCGGAGAAAGATTTAAAGTATTTTACATTAAAGCTGCTAAAAGTGCAAGTTTTTCTGTTATTTTTGGTTTGAATTTTTTATATTTTAAGTTGAAAACGTAGAAACTATATCATGGAATTCCGCATAAGATTAAATAACTAAATAACAGTTATACTTTCAATGAAGACCACATCTCTTTAGAGTGGATTAACGTGCATTTATTATGCTTTCTACACTGCATACACTGCATCTACGGTCAAAAAATAAATACATATATTGATGCATCAATAATAATGCATGCTTAACCCTAATGTTTCATTGTTAGAGGCGGGTAAAGAGCGATGTATTTTCATAATTTAAAAGCATTTATGCTGCATCATCACTGACTATTGTGTGTCTTCTTTAGCAATAAAACCCTTAAAAAGGGACAGCTCACCCTTAAATGACATATTCATATTTTTCTGGGAAGCTTCTCTAATGTATTTGTGGGTGCTTTGAACCAATGTACTTCTAACAAGTGAAAGCAGACCTGCACGGCCGGTATTTCAAACCCTGCAACTCACATCAACAAAGAAATGTTGATCCTGTGAACTGTACCTTTAAATGTATAAAAATGACATAATCAATCATGATAGAAAAGCAAGTTTAACAATATGTATTTGTTCCTTTTCTTACTTTGCATGTATCATATTGTTTCTTTATACCTTAAAGATACATTTCTAAAGTAGAACCGTATACCATTTACCACCAACAATACAATGAAATGATGAGAAAACATTATTAGAGATGCATCAATATGTACTATGCTGTTGTAGTTAACACATACAATGATACTGCATAGACTAATATTATAAGATATGTTATATTTATTAATTTATCAGTTTTATTCCACTGATGGCAATTATTATAAAACAAAACATTGGACACTTTAAGCAGTTTTTTTTTTGTAGACCATGAGTAATGACTTTCATAGAAAGTGATATGAAAGTATCTCCACTGTACAGAGATGTTTTATAATATATTTAAAGGAAAAGGTATTTTTTAAATTAAATGCACATACTTAAGTTTACACCTAATTAAATATGAACCGCTAGCAGTTAAGCTACTTCTTTCTTTAAGATATTACAGAGCTACATTTCAAAATACTGCATTGCCCATAAATGCACATATTGTTTTGATCAAATTGGTCTTTAAAAATATATTTATATCAAGTTTTGTTAACTTAATTAAAGATGGTGATGTTTTTTTTACTGTACATCCACAAACTAATCCCTTGTTACGAATGAACGATTTAAAGTGATCTGTCCTGCTACATGTTTATCGTTCCAACTATGACTTGGGTATTTGGCATACCAAAACATTTTCTGTTTGTTTTTGCTGTCCATCAAACACTGACCAACACAGCGGTATCTGCACAGGTTAAGGCTCCCTATCAAATGACTGCTAGTTTAGCCATTTGCTGCCACCTAGAGGTGAACATGAAAACTGCAGACAAAGTTTTCTGAGCCTGGCTGATGGTGTGCATCTGCTCTGAATTACCAAACTCCTGGGTCGCCAACCCCCCCCCAGTCCCCTCATCCTCTCCTCACATTAAACTGACACATCCTCTGCACCCACTCGGACACCCCTCCCTCAGTCTACCCACTTCCACTCAACTCCTCAACTTCCGAATCTCTGTGGTTTATCGAAAGAATTTCCAGCACATTTCCTGCTTGTAAATATCAGAGATTCAGAATTAATGTCCAAGTTTTATAAACATACCTTTAGTGCTGGGATTTCCACAGTGTCATTGATGGCCAGCGACCCCTGCAGGATGGTGCCTGTCATGACTGTTCCCTGACCACGGATAGAGAAGCAATGGTCCACAGCCATCAGGAGGTCACCTTTGGGGTCTCTCTGGGGGAGGTACGTCTGTTTCTTCAAAAGCTGATACAGACCACCAAGAGGGCAAGAAGAAAAATATATTTGATCACACAAAAGATAACCACTGTCATTATTCTGCAAGGGTACACCATTTTATTTTAGTTTGGGTGCTTTAGTATCATTTCATAAAGAGAATATGAATATATTATATATTATATGATATATAAAACAACAAATACAGTGATTAACAGTTTGCCTTTAACCACCGCCATTTTTTACTTTCAGTGTTTACTTTGTTGATTGAACAAATAGTCTATTATGTTTTTTCCTCTGAGGATTGTCTTAAGCATTTTATCACCAATTGACAATGACATCTGACTCGCAGCACTTGTTCTTAAGTGCATAAGTGAGAACTTATGTGCTTATGAGCTAAATTAGTAACAATGGAGGGGGACCAGTGTGTTTCCGGACTTTACCTCTATTAACTCTGGCACTGCTTGTGGCTCCTCTGTGTCAGGAGCCTCCGGGCCCCCAGGCTTCGCTGCCACAGCAATCACTGGACATTCCTTAAATCTGGCCAACAGAAAAACAGTTGTATTGAAAATATTTCATGCTTTGATGTTGAAGTAATAGATAAAGTTTCTTTGAATAAGAAACAAGTGGCTCGTACAGACAGACACTGGAATGCAGGCAGGGAGACAGAATGTGTAATGAGTGAGGAAGTCTGACAGAGATTCAGTCCTGCTGGCCACCGGGAGTACGCGGGATGCCATAACCCACACTTCCACAGAATTCCCCACCATATTATTAAACTTGCATTAATGCAGACCTGGTGTTCTCCAGAGTTTTGTGCAGCCTCTTGGTCATTTTCTCAATGGCACTCTGTCTTTTGTTGGGAGGCAGCAGGTCGATCTTGTTGAGAACAACCACCATGCGAGGGCAGGTCAGCTCTCCTATCAGCAGACACTCTGCAGTCTGAGTCTGCACGCCTTTCACCACATCCACCACCAGCATCATCAGGTCAATGATTTGGGCACCTAGAGAAGGCAGAAAAGGAAAAAACAATAATCTATAGGATGTAAGATATAACTGACTTGGAAGAAAAGCCTCAAGCAACTATGAAAAGATGTAGGAACTGTGAGTAGAGACTATGAAGCCGACAACAGCAATATAAACAGGAATGGATATAGATACCTAAAAATAACAGTTGAACAAGAAGAGAAATTAGGGGAGGGGTGCACTGAAGCAAAGAGATGAAAAAGGCTAGAGGGTTGAAACCAGAGCTGCAGCTCACTTGGTTGTCTTTCCTTTCCCTCTTTTCTTTTCCTGAGTTTGGCACACTCTCTTTCCTGTGCTCTCCTCTTTTCTCTCCTTCTATTTGGCTCCCTCTCTTTCCTGTGCTCTCCCCACTTGGGACAGAAGGGGAAGTTTAATGCATACCCCAATCCCCACACTTTCCTTCCTCCCTAATCTACAGCATGTGCCACCCCACTGTCTCATCGATTTAATTTAGAGTGTTGGTAACCCTGCACAGCAGTATTTATGAAGTGCATTTAGTCAGATTTATTACCAAGACTTTTACTTATATCAGAGTCTGTGTATATTACACTCTTTAGGTTTGAAAAAGTCTGCTTATTCATTCATGTGACACATATTGGGGACTAATAGAGAAAGCAGGTAATAGAGAAAGTGTCCCTCTGAGTTAGCGTTCTCATTCATTTGCTCTTGAACCCACTGTAGGTTAGGGCTGCTCAATTAATCATATTTTAATCGCAATTACGATGTTGGCTTGCAACGATTGTGAAAACAACAAAATAAAACGATTATTTATTTACTTTTATTTATTTATTTTTGTAACATACTATTCACATTTTTTTTCTTCAATAAATGGATGTTTTCAAAGTAAATGGATAATCGTTTTTTATAATCGTGAAATCAATTATTGACCCAAATAATCGAGATTATGATTTTCGCCATAATCGAGCAGCCCTTATTTCTAACAATCCCAACATCCAGGTCAATGTGGCAGGATCAACCCAGAAGCTGGAAGAGAAAAGACTCCCTCTGCTGGATAGGTTCATGTGTGTGTGATAACAGTGAGGAGGATGTAGTGTAAGCAGGATGATACTGTCACCATGACTGCAGCATTTATTAGACGAACACAGACATTGGACATTTGTATTATTTTCTACTATGTTCTACTATGATCTGTTATTGACACACTGGTACTTATATGCGTAGTACGAAAACAGTTTAGGTGAACTTTATAACCTTCACAAAATGTAAAATGTATGTGTTAGGGCTGTTGTGTTGGACTGCATGTGGGTGTAATTACTATACAGTGTGTGGAACTGTGTGTGGAGGGTGAGGTATGGTTGCTGTGGCCTCAGCTTGTATTATATACCACTAGTATAGGTCACCATATCGTGACTTTATCCTATTTGTTAACCATTATTTTATTTGCTGTCATTAGCAGTCTTGATGGAAGTAGTTAGATGTTTGACTTTAGTGAACTGAATACCACACTGTGTACTCTGTTGTAAAAAAGCCCTGCATTGAAAATATAATTTAAGTAGAAGTATGTAAAAATGTACTAATGTACTTAAAGACTTCAAAGTAAAAGTCGTCAATGTAGAACACAATTAAAATAGTATTTTCTGTCAAACAGCTAGTCGATTATTTGACCAATTGTTTCAACTCTACTGGTTTACGATGTTAGGTAGTGTAGTTGAATGTACAACACCATCGTAATCTATAAACGAACTAACAAAGTAGAAGTATAAAGTAGCATTGAAATACAAGGCTCAAGTAAAGCACCATACATTTGTACTGTACAGTTCTTGTGTGACTGCACATAGTTACATCCCACAACATGAGTGACATCTAGCACCAACACACTTGCAGACAATTCAGAGAGCTCACCCCCAATGATAGTCCGAATAAGAGAGGCGTGTCCCGGACAATCCACCAGGGTAAACTGCAGATTGTCATACTGCTTCTGGCCTTCGCTGTCCCGCAGGTGATCGGGAAGCTCCACCGTGAAGGAGGAGAAGCCTAGGTCAAGCGTGATGCCTCTCTCCCGGGACTGCGGGTTCTTGTCGAAGGCAGCCGTGGAGGCGGTGCTGCTCAGCGACCTGGCGAGCGATGTCTTCCCGCTGTCGACATGTCCGAGAACCCCAACGTTGAAATTCAACGTTTTTGTCCGACTGTCAGACGACTCTGACATTTCTACACCAGTTGGATGTAATGTTAACCGGCTTGCGAATGTTGTTTACTCCGAGCTGGACCTTGAACTCAGCTCCAGCGTAAAACTGAGTTATTTGCTGTCTTTTCATTTGTTGACACACATAAAACACCTTCAACAACAAGCTTTTGTAATAAGTAGTGGCTTACAAAACATCTACAGCTATAAAAAAAGACTTTAAAGTTACTTTAGCATTAAAACACATGAGATAAACGTCTTCCTCGTTGTCAGTGCTCTCCGTACTCGAGACAACATGCTAAAGCGGAACGGTTGTGTTCAGGAGCAAACAAATATAAAACAGAGGTTAACTGACCTGACATAAAATACACTTCATTAAAACTTCAATGTACAATGTCAATGGTGTGATGAATCCCCTCTATCAATAAGTTCTGCATTCATTCGAGACTCTTATTTACACTTTGACAAGTTTCTAGCAGTTTCTACTACGACAAAAGCAAGTGAAACACAAGCGGAAATGAAAATGTCGATGACAATGATTGGCGTGGATTACAGCCAATGAATGTGTCGCGTCAGCCGACATCAGCCAATAGTTTTACTTGACGGAGTTGGGCGGGACTTCAGGGTATCACTTCCGCTAACTTTCCCTAGTTACCCACATGGAAACCAATTTCCCTGTGTTTTGAGTTTCGGCGCCGATTGCAGCAGTGAGAATTACCTGACTCACGGGGGGTATTTGATTCGCCCTGAACCAGCCTTACCGTTTTTACTCCTCATATTTGTAAAGTAACAGTAACTATGAAGATCGAAGAGGTGAAAAGCACCACTAAAACTCAGCGGATCGCCACTCACAGTCACGTCAAGGGACTGGGGCTAGACGAGGCCGGGAATGCTAAACAGTCAGCATGTGGTCTGGTTGGCCAGGAGGCTGCAAGAGAGGTAATGTTCATGTTTCACTGCACTCGCTTTACTCTTGTATTGTTAGTGGACCGCCACTAAGAGCTGAAGATATTTTGCAGCAATGATTTTGCTAATACCAGGCAGGTGCACCACCAAGCTAGTTCAGTTAGCACTGTGGTGTCGCTGTTTCACACTAAGGTCAGAGGTGAGCTAAAGGGAAAGCACCTTAAATATAAATCACATTCATATTTTATATAAGTACATATTCTATTTCTATAAAGAGCATATTCACAATTTGTCAACAGATATATAAATCTAGTCATCTTGATGTTCTGATTTCCAGTCTAAGGAGACACCTGACTTCTTAGGGATGCAATGCTGTCTAAAATATAGTATCACAGATGGATAGATTGGCCATGGGTTTATTTTACTTTGGGGACAAAGCAGACATTTGAGTATAGTATCTAAAAGCTATCGGCTTTGAATTCAATTGTAACTTGACTCAGACTGGGTATCCCACAACCAGCTACTTGTATTACATTAAATTCCTGTTTTCCATTGGATGTCTATATTCATTATGTTTAATTGTTTCCACTCTCCAGGCTTGTGGAATCATTGTCGATCTGATCCGTTCAAAGAAGATGTCTGGAAGGGCAGTGTTACTGGCAGGGCCACCTGGTACAGGAAAGGTAAGTGTGTAGTGTTCCTTCAATGGCAATAGTTTCAAGGCTTTTGTTGTCATCTGTGCATAGCTACAGTGTAGTTATGACAATTGAAATCTTAGGTCACAGGCTCCTCCAACAGTGAAACACAATAAACAGATAAAATAAAATATAATAGAAAGTGCAGAATAGTCTATACTCTATATACAGTAATTGGAATATTGATATATATGAGTTGCAAACAGATGGATGTTCTTTCAAAAAGTTCAGGTGTTTAACAGTCTTGTGACCTGTGGGATGCAATAGAGCAGTATTGCTTAGTTTAATGTTGCCTCTTGTTGCTGCAGATGCTGACTCTTTTTATTTTATTTGATCCTCCAGACTGCCCTCGCGTTGGCTATGGCACAGGAGTTGGGAAACAAGGTGCCTTTCTGTCCCATGGTTGGCAGTGAAGTCTACTCGACAGAGATAAAAAAAACAGAAGTATTGATGGAGAATTTCAGGAGAGCTATTGGTGAGTGTCACTGAAATAAGAACTGGCTCCTTGGTCATCACTTATATCCCCCAAATCAGTCACTGGAACTGAGGTTTTGGTAGACCCTGATCTGTCAGGGCCTATCAAAAGTGTCATTGAACACAAAGGCCATTTTAAATATGTGCAAAGATTTTATCAAAAGCCATAATAGTGCCATCTTAAAGCAAATGTTTAAATGAAGGAAAATGCAGATAATAAAAAGGTGTCATCTTATCACCAGACTTTCTCTTAGCCGAAAAAGGTCTAATTTAAAACCACAGCAGGGTCCATGGATTATCCTGACCTCTCCACTTCGTACAGAGTATGACTAGATTACACTCGGATTAACCAAGATTTATTTTCAATTCACTCTTCCTCTCTTGGTGTCAAACAACCTTATCCAGTATGTTTAACTTATTCTTTCAGGGAAGAGTCATTGGGCAGAGAGAGCATGGTGTCCTCCTAACACACACCGTTCTCATCAGCTGAAAGGCGAACTTGACCGGGTGTATGAGAATGTTGTTGAGAAGGAAGGAAGGCTGGATAAAGGGACAGGGTTTGTCTGACTGCTGATGTTACCTGTCGCAGGGTAGGAAATGGAGCTTAGGTAGAGGGAGAGGTGGTCATCAGCACCTTTTGCTCCTCCCCTAGAACAGGATACAGAGGGGGGTGGGGGGTTTCATTTTGAAGTTGTCATCACTCTGCTGATAAGAGCGGACACTCCTCGCCTTACTCTTTGCTGTGTGACCCTCCCCACAGCAGATCAGCCACCTGTGTCCTGCTCATACTCCGTGCCGGTCTGCATGAAAGAGCAACAAGACTCGGATCACATTACACAAGATGATGCCCATACATATTAGTGGCACACGCACACATGCTCCCTCTCTGTAATAAAATGCTTTTTTCGGTAGACTGAAGGAAGTGGCGGCTTAGTTGACACAGGAATATAAAGACCAGATTGAGCTCTCACTCTGCACTGCGCCTGTGAGTGACTGTAATGTCGCCCACATTCAGGACTGCGTATCAAAGAAACAAAGGAGGTGTATGAAGGGGAGGTGACAGAGCTGACCCCCTGTGAGACAGAGAATCCCATGGGCGGCTACGGGAAAACCATCAGCCACGTCATCATTGGTCTGAAGACGGGCAAAGGCACGAAGCAGCTCAAGGTCAGACTGGAGCTGTAATATTTCCTTTTTCTATTTACTGCATCTAAAGCACACAAGAGATGGTGCACTTGTACACCTAGTCAAAGTAAATACATGTATGGATGTTGTCATTTTTTAAGGTACTTTGCACATGTGTTTAAGTTGTTTATCAGCAATAACATTCATCTTGCAAGCCGATTGTGTTTGATTTTACTCTCTCTTCCTCCAGTGGTATATAGTATTCTTAAACCATTTTTGTCCCCAACACTGACCAGTTGTTAAGGAGCTGTTTCTTACATGAAAATGTTTTGTCTTGTTTCCTTAGCTCGACCCTAGTATTTATGAGAGTCTTCAGAAAGAGCGAGTGGAACAGGGAGATGTCATCTACATTGAAGCAAACAGTGGAGCTGTCAAGGTATTTGTCATGTCTTTCATGTGTTCATCCCTCCCTACTGTCACACATTTTATAAAAGTAGAAAGAGATGTAAATACAATGCTTTAATTTAGTGATAAGTCACAAATGCAACATTAAGACGCAGGGGTCTTAAAAAGTATTAAAAGTTGATAAATCAATTTAGCGAAAATTAAGGCTATTGAAAAGTATTAAACGGCATTTTCCAAGGTATTACATTTTCATATAAATTGTCCAAAGAGGTTGTATTCTACAGTGTGCTGAATGTACATCATTGCGTAGCGTGTGTAGTGTGACTGTGTAGTTATTCAGGGCATCCGTTGGATTTGACCGTCATCGGAACAGGGTACATCGCACCACGCTCACTTCTTGATAGCCGCGCGAAGGTCCCGTTTATGCCGTGTTAAAACCAAATCGTTTATTGGGAAAGCAAAGTCTGCGTCCAAATGGTTGGATAAGGAGGAAGCGACAATCAATACTGTATATATTAACATGTGAGGTACAAGTGTGTCCGCAATTGTAACCGAGCGATGAGGTCTTAAAATGTATTGAAAGGCTCTTAAAAAAGGTCTTCAAAGGTATTACATTTGACTTCAGGATTCCTGCATATACCCTGATATTTGATCAATTCAAATTTCAGTGTATTCTGTCATCCTGCCTGTCTTCTTCAGTCCTTCACGGTGGTGTCCTTTCATCTCTTTCAGCCCTGCTGCATTTCTCCTGTACTCTGAATCAAGCCTTTCTCATTCCTGCAGCTCTTCATGCTCCCTCTATCTCTCCATCTCCCTCAATGCTTCTTTGACAGGCCACAATGACGGCTCCTTTAGTCGGTGCAGGTGGGCTAGGGGCGCAAGTCAGGAGGGCTGGACAACACATTTGTTACTGTTGAAAGCTGTATCATGACGTGCCCTCTGAAGCCCTTTGATCCCTCAGCTGCTCCTGGCACTGGGTTCAATCATACACCTGCTCTGGCTCCATCTCTTCTTTCACTGTCCAGAGCAATGCGGCCATTACTCCCTGTGGGTCAAATGTAAATGAATTGTATTAATACATATTGTTATACTGTGTCTTTACAGAGACAAGGTCGTTGTGACACCTTTGCTACAGAGTTCGACCTGGAGGCAGAGGAGTATGTGCCGCTGCCTAAAGGTGATGTCCACAAAAAGAAGGAGATAGTCCAAGACGTCACACTGCATGACCTTGATATTGCAAATGCCAGACCCCAGGTATGTTACTGCAAAAGCCTTGTCATTTACTGTAGCTGCTTACATTAACAAAATAGTACCAGTTTACAGCTATTCCCTACATGTTTACAAATAAGTACTGTTGCATTTCAGGGAGGCCAGGACATTCTCTCCATGATGGGACAGCTGATGAAGCCAAAAAAGACAGAAATCACAGGTAAAGGAAACCTGAACGCGTCACAGTCTAGTCTACACCCCCAGCTGGATTAACGACTAGTTGACTTGTGTTTGATTCATTACCGTTTTCTCTTCTGGTTATAGACAAGCTTCGTAATGAGATCAACAAGGTGGTGAACCGCTACATCGACCAGGGCGTAGCTGAGCTGGTTCCTGGTGTTCTGTTTGTGGACGAGGTGCACATGCTGGACATCGAATGCTTCACATACCTCCACAGAGCGCTGGAGAGCACCATCGCCCCTATCGTTGTGTTTGCCTCCAACAGAGGAAACTGTTTAATTAGGTAGGAGGTCTAAAGCGTTTTAGGTGGAAAGAAAAAAACATTTTTAAAACACACCAGATATGATATTTTTTGATGTAAAATGTGTAGTATTCAAAGTGATTTGTTTCTCAACAGGGGAACAGAGGACATCTGCTCTCCACACGGGATTCCTCTTGACTTGCTAGACAGAGTCATGATAATCCGCACAATGTTGTACACATCACAGGAGATGAAGCAGGTGAGTCTTGACATCTAAGTACCTCCAGTTCAGTGTAGAACATTCAGGAAACATTTGGGTAGAAACTTTTGCCCTAACAATAGGGGCATTTATAAAATATTGGGAATAGTAATTAATACATAAAGTGACAGTTTTTAAATTGAAAGACCTGATTATTAATAAAAACATAATATTGCTGTTCCAAAGAGAAGTGGCCGGCAATCACTTGCATGTCCGGGAACTTCTAACAACATTTTTTGTCCCTAAATCACAGTTTTTTTGGTGCCTTCTGACATTTCTTAGGGTGTCACTAATGATGTTGTGGTTTGTAGATCATCAAGATCCGTTCTCAGACTGAGGGGATCACCATTAGTGAGGAAGCACTTACACACCTGGCAGAGATCGGCACCAAGACCACCCTCAGGTAAGACTGAACTTTGCAGAGTGTGGGTGTTTCTCAATCGTGAGTAAAGCTGCTCCAGAGCCACTATTTCAAGCATACTACGTCATCGAGTGCCGCCGAAGTACTGTTCCAATGTCCAGCATACTTGGCTGAGACTGCCAAGGCACACANGCTGCTCCAGAGCCACTATTTCAAGCATACTACGTCATCGAGTGCCGCCGAAGTACTGTTCCAATGTCCAGCATACTTGGAAATCTACCGAGCCCGGCGTACTCCGTTTGGAGAAATATCGAGGCTGCACATGAGTAGACTCCGCGGTCTTAAAATCCCCACAATGCTTTGCGCACGACCCAATTTCCAAAATCTGTGGCGGAAAATGTAAGGCGGGGCC